TTATAACTGTACATTGTTTTCAATAAAGGATTTAATTAATTTAATTTTTATTAAAATTTTTTAAATAAACAATTTTAAAAATAATTTGAAGACAACACTTTTTTAAAAAAATTATTTTTGTATACAGTTCCCAAGACCAGAAAAACATTTTTATTTTTAAATTTTTCAACTGGACGTCGAGAATTTTTTTTTTTTTTTTGAAATTAAAAATTAAAACAATTAAAAATTTCAATATTGCTTATGACTTTAACAAAACAAATTTTTTTGGTCTAATATTATTCCAGAAACTTATTTTGATAACAGTAGATGTCAGGGTGTCTACTAGTCCTGGAAATGTCCTGGAATGTCCTTGAAAGTCCTGGAATTTTAATTTTTGTTCTTGAATTTTTTATATTTTGCTTTTAAATTTTCAAAAATTTCTAATTTTGTCAATCAAGTTAAAAAAAATTCATTACCTAAATAAGTAAAATGAAAATTTACTTAAGTAATTAATTAATTTTTTAATAATTTCTGAAAACAATAGTTAAACTAAAAATTTTTAAATTCCTTAAAGTCATTCAATTTAATGTCCTGGAAAAATAAGAAATTTGTCCTGGAAAGTCCTGGAAAAGTCCTGAAATTTTAATTCAGATTTTTAATAGACACCCTGTGATATGTAAAAAAAACGCGATGTAACATTGAAAATGAATTAGGTATTTGAAACTTTTAGTTTCAATTCAGTTTCATTAGTTTAATTTTTATATAATTTTAACATTATAAAAATAAGAAAGTTTGGAAAATATGATTTTTTGGGCAGTTCTAATAACCCTTTTGCAGTCTAGTAGAAAAATCGTTTGTGGGCCCAAAACGGTCCAAAAAAAAAGTTTCCAAAAAAATATATCATCGTATTGAAAGTTTTTGGGGTCACTGAATCCAAATTTGAGATCAGATTTAAAAAAATTCAAAATGGCGGACCCAATATGGCGGAAAAATTTAAAGTTGATTAGATTCGTCCAAAATTTAGCACTCTGGGGTTTTTGGGATCGCTGAATCCAAATTTGATGTCAAATTTAAAAAATTCAAAATGGCGGACTCAATATGGCTACCCAATATGGCAGAAAAATTTGAAATTAATTCGATTCGTTCAAAATTCAGTACTTGGCGGTTTTTTGGGTCGCTAAATCCCAATTTGAGGTCAAATTTGGATTCAGCGACCCCAAAAACCTTCGAGTACGGAATTTTGAACGAATCGAATCAATTTTAAATTTTTTCCGCCATATTGGATCCGCCATTTTGAATTTTTTAAATCTGACCTCAAATTTGGATTTAGCGACCCAAAAACCCTAAAGGAACCATTTTTATGCAAATCTAGTCAATTTAAAAATTTTTTTGGACGCCATATTGGGTCCGACATTTTGAATTTTTTAAATCTGACCTCAAATTCGGATTCAGCGACATTGACTGTCAAGGAGTTAAATTCCAAAATTTTAATAAAGCAGAGTGATTATAAGAAGTTATAGAAATCAAAATAAATACAAAATATACTATGCAACTTGGCAGAAATTTTTTTTATTACCTCTTAAATGTTAATTATTGATTTATTAATAAATTATTTTTTTATTTGTTTGATAAAAAATTTGCCTAGATTGGATTTTTTGTTGTTTTATAGTGTCTTTATTTGGTTCGACTTTTTTCACAAAAGTCAAAATGATTTTTTGTCCAACTTAATAATTTATTGTTGTGTATTTTAGTGTTTAAATTGAGGAGGAAAAAAAAAATGATAGAGAAATAAATTTTTATCGAATACACAATAAATGCTACAAAAAGCATATAGTCAAATCGATGGTTTATATAGATTGCTGTTTGTATAATAAAATTTATAGTTCATATATACAGTTAGTGGGTATATATGTTTTAACGTCATGTCTCAATTTATTTATTATATATTCGAATCTATATATTAATGAATTTATGAAATTTTTGTCGTGCCAAAAATTAATATTAAATTATTGTCAATAATATTCAAATATAGAAATAAATTTATACTCATTTTTAAAAATTTTTATTGTTACAATGTTTAGGTACTTCACAGGTCAATGTATATTTTGTATTTTACAATATTTTTAATATACGATTTTTTTTTCTTTTAGATTATTTTCAAAAATAATTTTTAAAATTTAATTTCTTCTAAACAAAAATTTGATATACTTTTTTTTGGATTTGATTTTTAATTTTATTTTGAATATTTGTATTATAGAAAATATTTCTATTGTAATTGTAAATTTATATATATATATAATTGTTGTAAATTTTAATCGAATTTGAATTTTTCTGCCCACCAATCGCATTTAAATATTTAAACAGTAGTTTGTTTATTTTCATTTGGATAAACTTGATCTCGTATTCAGACACATGATATTAATTAACAGAAATTCCATAGAATAGAATTCACCTAAAGCGGAATTTATCGCATTCCTGGAAATCTAATTTAATTGATAGAATTATTGAATAAGGTAGAAGTGACACATTATTATTGTGAGATATATGAGATTTATAATCTCGAGAGTTGTATTTTTCAATACTTTGTGGTATTTAAAAATATTAATATTTAAATAAAACATATTCACATTTTTTAATTAAAATCAAACTCACATCTCTTTTCTTAAATAAAAATTTTTCTTCATCTCATAAGCAAAAGATGATGGATATAAAATTTTATAATTATATATTCTTTAAATATAAATATATTAAAATAAAAATGATAAATTGCTCGTTAGAAAATTTTCTCATGAATTGAAATAAAAAAAAAAAAAGTGATTGAGCATTTTGCAGACAGTTTCGTCTTTATAAGTAAAATTTATGAAAGTCCATTAATTTAACTCTATAAAATTATGAAGTCAATTCCATTTAAAAATTATATATGAGAATGTGAAAAAAATCGCTCTTCTTTTGTTGAATAATTTAAAGCTCGCCGGATGTATGTTAACAATACGGTTTACCCCGTTTATAATTCTTGGCTAAACCAAAAACCATAATCAACAGATTTCTTTAGAAAAAAAAAAGAAAAAAAAAAAATTATATAAAATCTTTGTACTCGCGGAAATTTGAAAATAATTAAATTTCCTTTTATAAAGAGATTATATCTTCTGGCTTTTTGCGTACAACTTTATAAATTATATAAATGAGTTATATTTTATATTATTAAATTGAGAAAAGTTTATTATGCCATCAAATGAGATGGAAAAGATATTAAATTGTCAATTAATTATAGGATTAGCGAAAACTGACTTTATATAGACTGAAACGCAAAATTTGTCCACTTTTGCTCTTTAAACAAATATCTATATTTTACATATATATATATTGATACGCTGAAATTGTTACCTACACATTTGTGAGATTAATATTTTCGAGTAATCTCCGATATATCTGTTGCAGATTTGCTTTGTTTCGTGTTTTTGTTTTTTTTTTTCGTTTCACTAACAACGATTCTATATTATAATAACCATGCATTGCAAAAATGATCTTTGAGATGAAAATTTTTAATTTTACTTTTTATTCGTTTATTTAAACAAACAAATAAATATTAAATTAACGAAATTAACTTTTAAAAATTTTTTCCGAATCGAAACAATTTTTCTTTTTCCCTAACATTCAAGATTAATAAATTATTAATTATAAGATCTTATTATACTAGATACGACAAAACTTGGAAATTCGGTTACTTTGACTATTATGAAATAATTATTTACTTGAACCAAATAATTTTTATTTGAATTTAAATAAACTATGCGTATTCGAACCAAATAATAATTTCTGTATTTGATACAAATAAATATTTATTTATTTAATAACCGATTATTACTTGAATAAAATAAATTTTTTTTCAATGTAGAAATGGAGATTTTTTTAAGGATTGTAAAATTTCGATTTTTTTCAAAAGTGCTAAACTTTTTTTTATATTTATGAATAATTTAGAAAATATATTGCGTCTGTGATAAAAAATATAGATGAGCGGGGATTAACGATCTCTCTCTCTATAACGAGATTTATTTCCTTTGGAAATGACATCTCGCTCGGAAACAACACTCGATTCGCAAGACCATTTACCGCATTTCTCTTAATGAGTTTGATTAATTACTAATTATTATCCACTATCCGGTTCTAATTGGATGGATAAATTGGCCTGGTTTTTCAATCGGTTATAGATTCTCTAACCTATTACTGTTATATAATTCAGATGTCACATCTTTTAACAGTATTTATATTTCATAATAATATGTATACAATATATGATATATAATTTATAAATTAATAAATAAATTCATATATTGTAATGGCAATGTTACTATGGTTTAATTTAATTTTAAATTAAGCAAAACACTTTTGCATGAAACATGCACTTTTGAATCATTTTTGATTCTTTAAAAAAAAAGAATATATTTTTTAAATTTCTTTTTAATCTAAATTTATGAATTTTTTTTTTCTAAATAAGATTATTAATTTATTTCAGTTTTTGTATCTGATGAGACCCAACGTGAATGGGCACGTACAAATAATTTTATTTTTTATTTTAATTATATCTACACTGAAAAAAAAAATTTATTTGATTCAAATAATCGGTTACTTATCAAATAAATATTTACTTGAACCAAATAGTTTTTAAAAGAATTAAATATAAATTGTATATTTGAACCAATAATTTCTGTATTTGAAACAAATAACATTTAATTGACTCAAATAAAAATTATTTCGGTCAAGGAAATGTTTATTTGATATATAGTCAAGTAGTCGATTATTTGAATCAAATCAAATTTTTTTTCAGTATATTTAATTAATTAGGATTAAAATTATTTTTTATTATTTATAATCATTAAAATTATTTATTAATTTTATTTTTAACACAAAAATCACAATAATTATATTATATTTGAATAAATTCTATATTGTACCTCTATAATTAATTGAAATTTAAAAAAAAAATCTAAATTTCTTTTTAAACTCTTCTGTTTTTCTTTCAGCATAACAATGGTTTCCGTACGAGTTATGGCATGTTTTGGAATTGTTCTCATAACTCTTGTCCACTGGTCAACATGCTACCCAACGGTTGATAAGGAAAGTCTTCAAAATGAAATTGACGTAAGTCTTATTTAAATATATACAAAATTATGAACTTAAATTCAATCATCTAGAAATGAATTCGACTCTAATGAACTATTCTTATATATACGTAAAATCCAATTAAAAATTCTATTTCATCTTCTTTTTTTATATTGTGTATAAATCTTATTTATGAGCAATAATTAAAGCATACCGTAATTTTTTATATTATTTATAATGTTATTATTTTGTTTATTTAATTTAATTTTTTTTTATTGGGGTCATTTCATTATATTTCATCTGAAGTCGTTGCGGCTTATTTTTAGAAAAATCTGATAATTTGTAATAATGATATTTAATATCCGTACAATTCATTTTTGGCAAATTTTTTATAAAATTATTTGTATTTGCTTTGGAATTTTAATTTTTAAGTTGAGGTGCACGGAAAAAAGGTTATTTTGACAGCTTTGGAAATTTAATCAAAAAACACAAAAATAATTTAGATAGAATAAATTTTTTGTTAGATATATATTCAAAATAGTCTAATTTACTTATATTAATTGATTTCTATGTTAAAAAGTACAAAATATTATATGAAAATTGATTTTTAAACTTGCCTGTCAAATGCCAAAATTCACCATATTTTTATTACATTTTTCTAGAAAGTTAATAAATATTTAAAAAATTATTACAGCTTAATATTAAGTACTTTCAATGTACTTTCATATGATGCGCTGACTTTTTAATATTATGTAGTAGAAATAGGAAAAATTTTACTTTGAATGTTGAACTTTACAGGATTTTCGGTGATTTTGAACACTTGTATCTCCTCAGGTGCAAAATAAAAAAATTCAATTTTTGTCTTAATATTTAAGTTAGACCTTGTTTTCCATTCTGTCAAATTTTGGCGATGGATTTCGAGCTATTTTATGGTTTTATTCATTTTTGAAAATCAGCTTCGAAAAACGAAATTGAAGGTTAAAATGCAAGTGGTTCTGCGATGACTGAAGTTGGCTGTCTTGATATCGATGTATTTGATTAAATTCAAATTTAAGTTTGCAAATAAGATTTGAACATTAAAATTCATAATAATTCTTTAAAAATATTATTTATAAGATTTATTTAAATCATTAAAGAAAATATAATATTAAAAATTGCTTAGTAAATAAAATTTTGATTTTTATTATTTTTTACATAATTGAAAACTCTTATGAATGACATTTAAAATTAAATAATTACTTCAAAGTAAATTTTATTTAAAAAATTTATTGGGAGTTATACTTTAGTATCGAAATCCATCGCCAAAATTTGACAGAATGGAAAACAAGGTCTAACTTAAATATTAAGACAAAAATTGAATTTTTTTATTTTGCACCTGAGGAGATACAAGTGTTCAAAATCACCGAAAATCCTGTAAAGTTCAACATTCAAAGTAAAATTTTTCCTATTTCTACTACATAATATTAAAAAGTCAGCGCATCATATGAAAGTACATTGAAAGTACTTAATATTAAGCTGTAATAATTTTTTGAATATTTATTAACTTTCTAGAAAAATGTAATAAAAATATGGTGAATTTTGGCATTTGACAGGCAAGTTTAAAAATCAATTTTCATATAATATTTTGTACTTTTTAACATAGAAATCAATTAATATAAGTAAATTGGACTATTTTGAATATATATCTAACAAAAAATTTATTCTATCTAAATTATTTTTGTGTTTTTTGATTAAATTTCCAAAGCTGTCAAAATAACCTTTTTTCCGTGCACCTCAACTTAAAAATTAAAATTCCAAAGCAAATACAAATAATTTTATAAAAAATTTGCCAAAAATGAATTGTACGGATATTAAATATCATTATTACAAATTATCAGATTTTTCTAAAAATAAGCCGCAACGACTTCAGATGAAATATAATGGAATGACCCCATAACATTAAAAAAAAATTTAACAATGAAAATTAAATTTGTTAATTTTAGGTGATCCGTTTGAGAAAAAACCCTTTTGTAATTTTTTAAACAAAAATATATCTATTTTTAAGATTTAGTTGATAAAAAAAGATTTTCTATTTATAACTTATTAAATCTTTAATCATAAAACGAAGTCGTTTTTGAGCGAATAATAATATCCTATTAAATGGATTTCAAATATGTAATATGATACTTTGGTATATAAAATCGATTGATTTAATTGGTTTCATATAATATTAAAAGATAATCAAACGATAACACAATGAAATTTGCTCAACCCTATACCCCAGAGTTTTAAAAATGCTATTTGAACTTCACTGCTGTCCGCACTAGTATGGTGTAGTAATTGCATAGCTGCAAATTACTGCTTAATCGTTGACACGTGAATATTAGCAATTTATTAAAGCTTTAGGCAATTTCATTTTATAAAATCGATTAATTTCTCAAATGTCATATAAATCACTGAGCACTGATGAAAAATTTGATTGAATACTTTTTTTTATGAATATTGTAGAGTGGTCCAATAAAGGTACAGAAATTTTTTTTTTTTTTTTTTTGAAATGTTTTACCTTGACCCTCAAAATTTGTTTCAAACTGAAAAAAAATGAGCCAAAAGTTTTGAACGTTCAAATGAACAAAATTTTTTTTGAAACTTCTTTAAGTACGAATTTTATTACAAAATTTTTGTTTTAAATATCTAAAAAGAAACTATTTATTTAATAATTGTTTATTTTACTGTTTTATTTTACATTGACATGATAATTTAAAATAATTTATAGATTGAAAAAAATATTTTGTTCATTTGAACGTTCAGAACTTTTGGCTCATGAAAAAAAGACAGTTTTTTTTTTATTAATTGGATAATATTTCAGAAGTCTTAAAGCCCATGAAATTTAACATTAATTTCTTATGGGGGAAAAAAGGACTTTACAAAAAAAAATCAGCAATTCATAATAAATTTAATAATTTGTTAATAAAAAAAAAAAAAAAAATTTTTAAATTTTTGAAAAATCATTAAAAAAAAATTTGTCAATATTAACAAATTATTTAATAGGCTATAGATTATTATTTTTAAAACTCTATTCAAAAACTGGTCCAATAGTATAACTGATTTTATTAATTTTATTATAATATATTTGAAATATTCCCGATAAATAATTTATTAAATTTTATACTGACAAAATTTTTTTTTTAATTTAATATTCCACAATAATATTTTTGGAATGAATGGAATATTATTGTAAAAAAAAAATCTTGTGCCATTCATATTATTCTAGGAAAAAAAAAAATTCTATAGTGTCATAAACAAACATCTTTTTTTACTTATACCTTATACTCTCCCTCTTATAAATTTATTCGTATATAATCTATTTTGACAAATATAAGTTTCTTCAATATATATAAAAGAGATGAATTAAATTTAGATTGTCCCCTAGAGAGGAAAGAGAATTAGGAAAGTATGACGGATTACAAAATTATTTATATTAAAAAAAAACACGAAATAGTTTCTTGAATGAACCCCACGGTAATAAATATTGGAATCAAGTTTTCGAATTGATTAAAAGTTTTTTCTTCGTCTTCGGCTTTTTTTTTTTTTTTTTTTTTGGAAAAAATTTCTGAAACGACTGACAAGAGTTTTAGATGCAAGCCAAGCGTCAGATGTATACCGGCTGTTACGATTCGCATATACATAAAAGTATCGGATAACTTTTGGTGTAATATGTCAGCATATTTGACCTTATAATATATATATATATATAATGTTAAAAAAATATGAAAATTTATTAAAAAAATAAAAATTATTTTTCAAAATTTACGTAAAAAATACATCGTTATATTTTTACAGTCCAGGTGTTCATATACATACAATATAAGAGAAAGATGTCTCTTTTATAATTTACAATGCAGAAATATTAATCCAACGCGAGTAAAATGAAAATTATTTCCACGGGGGATTGTATAAAATTAAAATTATTATTAAATCCTGTTGTGAATATTTTCTTAAATCCCTAAAGGCATCTTTGTTATATAATATTATATATATAAAAATCATGAAAGAGATTATAGAAATCAGTTTTCAGGATTATATTTTTTCATTTTTGAAAATTGTAAACAATTGATAATTTTATTTGGAATTTCAAAAAATAATTCCGATATCCCTTGCGTATCTTTAAAAATATGAGATTTGTAAATCTCACAATTTGTATTCACACGTGTTTTCTCACTTACATTTCGTTTCTTTCAACGTTGGCTGTCTTTTTTTTTAAATTTAGGGAAAAATAAAACAACGCAAAACGTTTATTGAATTGATAAAAAAAACAATATCGAATTTCCATCTCAATTTATTTATTCCATTTCTCTTGAGTTAAATGTTTGAATACACGGTTATTTTCGCAAAAAAAAATTGGTATAATAATTTTTTCATTGTTATTGCTTTTTGTTTTGTTTTGTGATACTCGATTTTTCTTTTTCTAAAGGTAATTATAGTTAAAAAAAAAAAGAGAGTGAGAAAGAGAAGGCAAAAAATTGTTTTCATTATTATTTCTCTTGATTGAAAATATTTTTGTAAAAGAAAAATAAAATTAAATAAAAACGTATAAATAAACAAAATGAAAACATTCCTTTAATAAATTAATATAAATATTATATATATTTTGTCTTCTATGAAGAATTTTTCTTACTTTCCAAAATTTGGAAATGTTAGCAATTTAATTTTTATAATTTACTGTTTATATTTCATAAAAGGAATTGTGTGTATATGTATATATAATATATATATTTTTCTTTACAAGTCGTGAAGTAATTGCTCGAGAAGGTATAAAAGGACATTTGTAATTTATGTGATGGAGGACAATTGCATTTTGCGAAAGTGGAACTAGTAAATTCAATGTGTATCTCAATTAACATTACTCATGAGAACCAAAAACGATTACATACTTTATAAAAAAAAAAAAAAAAACAGCAAAATGTTACTTATAATTAGCCACTCTCTCCAAATAAGCTTTTTTTCTACTTTATATAAGCAGATGTGCAATTCAAGTTTAATATGGAAATGTTTTAGTTAAT